GAATTGAGGGTGGAAAGAGGCGGGCACGAGCAGGCACGAGCGGGGTAGCATCCTGTGCAGGCGGTACTCGGGGCGTGAACGAAACTGCAGCAACCCACATAACCCGGGCAATGAATGGAGGCAATCCTTGCAACGGCCGGGCAATGAACCGCCCCCATCCGGGCCATCTGGCGGCGAGTGGCGGGTGGCGCCAGGCGGCCGTGATTTGTTGGATGCACATGTGCCCAAACCGGGCCCCGCACGCTGCATAGCACCTGACACGCCCTGCAGGATTGCTGGTAGCGTGGGGACCGCCAGTGCCCGCCAATAGGAGTGCCGCCATCATTGCCAGGCGCCGTGCTCCACCACCCCACCGGCAATCGGCAAAGCAATGAAGCTGGTTGCCAAAGCCTGTTTGAGCGCACAGGCAAGTCGGCGGTGCAGGCATGCCCCGCGTTTCAAACAGGGTGTCGGTCGATTCAGCGCCCCCCGGTTGCCGCCTGCAGGGCACCATCGTGGTGACCATCGCCTTCGTGCTGGGCGCCCTGGTGTGCTACACCCTGCAGCAGCAGGCGGTGCTGCTGGGCGCCTCGGCCGCCCCGGTCGCCCTCCACCTCCTGCCCGGAGGCGGTGACCGCTTCCACCAGGTCCCCTGCCCCGCCCCGCACCCGCCCAACGCCACCCGCAGAAACCTGGTGTTTGCGGCGGTGGGGGACAGCTGGACGCCAGACAGGTGGGTGCGCATGTGCGGCTGGGCTTGCCTCCCGCTGCTGCCCAGCCCGGCTGCCGCCCTGACGCTCCTTTGTGCCCGGCCTTGGCATGTGTGCAGGTGGTCGTACAGCGGGGAGGCGGGGTGGGACCTGGCGGCAGTCTACTTTGGCAACCGCAGCGACTGGAGCTGCCCGCAGGTGGGAGGCGGGGGGCGGGGCCGGTGGGCGCCCGCCGCCAGGGGGGTGCCCGGCCTTCATCCTTGCTCGCCCTGCATCCCTTGCCCGGCACCAGAGCGCAGCAGAAACAGAGCTCGGCAGGCGGCAGGGCCTGCAGTGTAGCAGCCCTCTAGCGGCGGCCACTCCACCCCGCCACCGCCACCCCCTCCGCCTGCACACCCGCACACACACACGCACGCACACGCACGCGTACAACCAGCGGCGTGCGCCCGCACCCCCCCTCTTGCGCCCCGCAGTGCACGCTGGCGCTGCGCATGCCCCAGGCCATGAAGTGGCAGATGGTGTGGGCGCTGATGAAGGAGGCGCAGCCGCAGTGGAGCGGCATCTGGGCAAACCTGAGGTGAGGCAGGGGCAGGGGGCCAGCTCTGCGCCTGGCAGCCGCCCGCCGCCTCGGTGCCTGGCAGCCGCAGCGGCTGCGGAGCCGCCGCGCCCCGTGCCCCGCGCGATGCCCCACCCCCACCCCCGACCCCCACCCCGCCGTAAGCGCGTGCCCTGCGGTACGCCCCTCCCCGCAGTCAGCGGTACGATTACCTCATGGTGGCCGATGACGACCTCATCATGGATGCCTGCACCATAGACATACTGTTCCAGGTGGGTTGTGGGGGTGAGGGTGGGGGTGGAGCGGCTCGGATTCCTGTAGCCGGGGGGAGCCG